CTTTCCTTTAATTATAATATAGCAGAGACCTGGCCTGCCTCTAAAGTCACCTCTGCCCTGTGACTCACACTGATGGCCATGTAGTGGCTTCCGGTGGGGCCAATTCATGCATTCCTCCCAACCAGCTTTTCTTTCGAACTGGATGGTTATGTTACAATATCTCATTTTGATCCTCACTGTCACTCAGACCCAGATATGACCTCGGCGCTCCGATGACACCTTCTATATGTGCCTCCATAAAACTGTGTAGTCACGCCGTCTGACACGGTCTTCTTCTGCTACACTGGCACCACTTTTAGGCCATCGTGAAACGCCCAGTACCGAAGGGGATTTTTCCCATTTTTCCAGTATCCTTACCCTTAACCTATTGCTTAGATAATCCCAACCTAGATCTTGTGTGTTACTCAGGCCAGTGATGGGCTAATAGGGAATTGTCGCGACTTTAGGCATCTTCCCTTTTGCAGGCATTGGAGAGCTTGATGAGCCTCAGGGAGCCAATGCCGCTCCAGGCCTGTTCTCGTCTTGTCAGCTGGGTACCTTGGGAACAATGGCTAATTTCTACCTATGACTGGTAGTAAAGGCAGCCATACATTCATCAAGTCTTTGTTCATACTCTGCTTCTCTCAAACATTTGGCCTGTCAACTGTACCTTATTTGGTCCTCCCCTCATAAACCCAATGCCCGATTGTTCTCCCCTTCCGTCAGCCAGTGCTGTTGTGTGCATGTGTAATCACACGAGGCACTTCCTTGTCTGACCATTCGGATGACACTATCCCCAGCGAACGATTCCGTCCGGTAGAGGGATACTTCTGGCTCAAAGTCGTGATTGTGCACAGCCTTTTCCTTTCCTGCCCTCGGCGCTCCGATGACACCTTCTACATGTGCCTCCATAAAACTCTGTAGTCACGCCGTCTGACACGGTCTTCTTCTGCTACACTGGCACCACGAAGGCAATTGCTTATCAATAGACAGGTTGAGGAGAAAAAAGGTCGAACTAAGTTAATAATAAATGAATTTAGAGTGTGAATGTGCCAATCAATTCGACTATTATACAGGCAGGTCGTGATTAATACGTGTTCCAATATTGCCAATTTCTCTTTAATACGAGTTCTAAAGTGACTCCAGATTCTTTAGTAAGTATGTACAAAGGGAAGACTAATTAAGTGAAGAAGATGAGGTGATTGGCGTTTACATTAGGAGAAAAAGTTTATATAATAAAAAGACACAAACGTGGTGATAAAAATTCCAAAATTGGCAAAGATGTTGTAATGCCTGAATCGATCGTACAGGGTTGTTTACTAACACACAGATAAAATTAAATAATAAAGTAAAGTGGCATCATCTTAATGCTACTTAATGCATACTACTTGAAAAGAACTTTTGCTCAGACGATTGCTAAAATAATAGGTAATGATGTCTTCTATATTGCATTGCTTTGCTTATTATATACCTTTGATTATCCATAGCCATCATATTGCATTGTGAAGCGGAGAAAAAAATGTACCATTTTAAAACTTACTAAGTTTTTTTAATGGGTTAGAACCAAGTAAACGACTTTTCATGGTATAATCGCTCTAAATACTATGATTTTGTTTAGTACTGGATTTTTACTGGGGGGATTACTCTTTCCAATAGCAACCTATCTATATTCATGAACAAACTAAAGAGAGAGCGATATGAAAACCTGCAGCTAGATATGAGGGAGCGGTGAACGTGCCTCGAGTAAACTTTTTAGGAGAAGAGAAAGGAAACGTTAAATATCCAAAAAGCTATGGTATTACCCTTTAAATTATTTTTGTCAATAACCACACTAATAAAGGTCAACTTCTGCCGATAGATTCCAAAATCGATTTTTCAGGATGCGAATACAAAGATAGTTTGGCGCTTGGACTTGCTAGTATATTTTCTATTTCTCAAATTCGCTGTGTATAAAGAGGCTTCGAAGAACATACTTCGGACTGCATCTTTTGCCATGTTTTTCTGACGCGAGACCGCCGAATG